CCATTTACCAACATGGATGGACCTAAAGGATATTAAGTAAAATAAGTCCAAAAAAGACAAATACTATACGATTTCACTTATATGTGGAATCTAAAGAACAAAATAAACCCAACAGAAACAAACTCAGATACAGAGAACAAACTGATGGTTGCTAGATGGGAGGGGGGTTGGGAGACTGGGTAAAAAGGATGAAGAGATTAAGAAGTATAAATTGGTAGTTACAAAATAGTCATGATATAGTCAATAATATTGTAATAACTATCTATGGTGCCAGGTGGGTACTAGACTTACAGGGGGTGGGGTATTATTTTGTAAATTATATAAATGTCTGACTACTATGTTGTACACCTGAAATTAATATAAAAAATATTGAATGTCAACTCTAATAGAAAAAAAAATAAAATATTTTCTGAACATATTTTCAGAAATATGTTCCTAAACCAGCAGGCAGATTGTCTTGGTGCTACAGTCTCTGGGTATTCTCAGATTAGGTCCCCCGTTCTACTCCCACACCTATCATAAACCTATAACTGATTTCTTTCCAGTTTTGACTTCAACTTGTCAGTTATCTTTTGGGTAACGGTGCTATTTTTGGTGTCAGATAAATGTATAATCTGGAAAATTATATTCCTGTTAAAAGACCTATAATTTAAAAATGTTTACCAGTACAAGATCCAAAGAAGAGTGTGTTGGGAGTACTGCTCTCAGTCCTCTTCATCTCTTAAAGAAGCACACAAGTTAAAGGCGGATGAAAAAGCAGAGAAGAAAGTGGGGCCAAGGTGAGAGATGAGGAAAGGATAGTGTTGGTAAGGATACAAGGTATAAGGAAATCTTCCCACTGAACAACAACAAAAAAGTAATGAGTTTAGATATTTTTCAACCAACCTATCTGCCAAACTAATACTGCCCACAAAATTATAAAGAGCACATGTTCTCTTCTTAGAAGTCAAAGGAACTAATCACTGTGAGAGTTAATCTTTAATATCTAGTTTTCCTTGAACTGCTAACCCACTAAAATCTGTATACTCAGCTAGTCTATTAAGAAAACCTGAAAAAACACATTTACAAGAACTTTGATACACATTATCACATTCAAATCTATGTTGGCACAGCGAATTTGTCCAGTTTACTGAAAACAAAAAATAAAAAACCCAGAAGTTAAACGAGGGTTTTTTAACTGTGTTGTATAAAGCTCCATCCATATTTTATTTCTAAGTGTTTTCCCAGTTAGCGAGGGGCTTTTCATAAAGTAAAAGAGTCTGAAAGCAAAACAGAGAATACAAAATGTTTCATAAATACTGAAGAAAGCAGACTATCTTAAAATCACTCTTTAAGCAGAGATTCTCTCTTCCGTAACTTGCCAGAATATTTTATGCAGATAACTGCACCCAATGAGAGCTCATTAAAAATGATCTGGCTGTTTGGACAGTGGTCCTGGGTTTCAATTATTTCATCCTAGTAGATACTGAGAATTGTTCTGGGAACAAAAGAAAACAAAATCCTCTTCTTAGGGAATACACAGTTCAGAAAAGAGAAAGATGGAAAGTGAAATGAAGCTGGCTGAGCAAACCACTGTGGCAGTCCTGCTGTCCCTGAACTCTAAATTTTTTATTTCTCAATTCTGAGTGGTTCTGGTATTTGCTCTTTATTTTTCTTGGTCAGAAAAAGAAATCCACTAGTACACATCTCTCTTCTGAAAATTCACTTTAATGCTCAGATTTAGCCATGTTCTATTGCCTTTACCACTGCTTCAATAATATGCCTACTATGTGCTATCCATTGCCGCTGCACTAAGCACTGGTGATCTGATTTAACAAACACAGAATTCAGGCCTTCATGGAACTGCATTCTGGATGTGAGTATCTTCCTCAAATAATAACATTACACATCATGTTCAGTACCATGAGGAATTGAGTATTGCAATAAAAAACAATAGGGGGAGATATGGAAGTGGGAACTTACCTTAATGAAGGTCAAGGAAGGCCTCGATAAGGAAGGGACATTTAAGTTAAGATGTGGAAGACAAGATGCCAATCAGGAGGAAAAGTGTTCCAGGCAGATAAACAGCAAGGGAAAAACCCCAGGGGTAGAAAGTTTCATGTGTTTGCAGATTTGAGAGAAGGCCCCTGACTATGAAGCAGTGAATATGAAGGAGCATGGCATGAGTTTATTTTTTGAGTGCTTAATATACGTTAGACATCACGCTAAGTACTTTAATATATCCTCTTATGTAATCACTACCAGAAACCTACAAAGTTAGATACCCCATCATTTTCAAAATGAAATAAACAAGCATAGGTGAGCTTAAGTAACTTGTCCAAAATCACATAGCAAGTGGTGGTACTTGAATTCAATTCAATGCAGCAAGAATCCAAACCCTACATTTTTAACTGAACCTTACACCCAAAGTTAGAAGGTAAGCAGTAGCCAAATACAGGGGGCTTTATATGCCATGGTAAAGAGCTTGAATTTATTTATCTTTTATTTTCTAATTAAGTTTTAAATTTTATTTTAAGCTCAGTGGAAAGCCATTCAAAGGTTTAAGAAAAACAATGACATTATCTAATTTACATTTCTACAGTGGCCACTGTGTGGACAATGAAGGGGGGTGGGGAGGAACTGTAGGAATAAAAAGAAAAAAAAAATAAAGGAAACCAGTAAGTGGCCAGAAGAGAAATGATGGTGGTCTGGACTAGAAGTAGATGGGTTCGAGATCTATTTTGGAGCAGATCTAATAAGACTTGCCAACGATTTGGATTCATGCAATACGGAAAAAAGAAAAAGTCTATGATAACTCCTGGGCTTCTGGCTTTCGTAACAAATGGATCACGTTGGATAAAAATGAAATGGTTAGGATCAGACTAAATTTGGGAAAGAGGGGTATATTCATTTAATCATTCAATAAATTAAGCTTCTACTATGTGATGATACAGCAGAATACAAAACTGATAAAGGCTTGCCCTCGTAGAACTTACATCATTGGGGTGGAGGATAGTGACACATATTAATTACATATATTAATATGTAAGTCATATTTGACCAAAAAGAATTTCTCTAATGTATAAGTGGAGGCCTAAAGGAAACAAAGGAGGCAGCCCTGAAGATTTCTGGGAGAAAAGAGTTCTGCGAAGTCTAAATAAGGCTACAATGGCCATGAGGCAGAAGTGTTCTTGCTATGTTTGAGGACTAGCAAGGAGGCCAGGGTAGTATAACAGAGTAGGTAAGGGGAAAATAATAGGAGGTCAAAGGAAGAAAAGGCAACATAGAACTTTGGTTGAGGATTTTGGCTT